TACCTAGTAGATACTCTAGTTAATAGCTAGTTTAAAACTCAGGATATGGTAACATTAAACAAATAAATAAATAAAATTTTTAAAAAAAGAAGCAGAAAACGAAAGAGAAAAGGAACTGAATACATTCGGAAAGAGAAGGCTTACTATGGTGAAACATTAGAAACGTGTAGACAAAGTGTTAATACTATATGTTTTGAGAAAATACCTAAGGACAAATTGAAATACATCATAGCTACGTTTGGTGTTTTCTATATTTCTATATAGAAATTTTATGTTGTATCAATATTAATATAAGTACCGAAAAATACTTAAAAATAGGTATTTTCGAAACTTTAAAGGAACAAAATTGCAGTCTGAAAATTTATAGCAGCGGAACTTTTGAAGTAATTTCATGCCTTCTGAAGGTCGTCATGAACATAACAATTTATAACTGTCAGCTTTTACAACTAGGAATCAGATAAACTCTATTGTCTGGTAAACCGGACTGTCTAGTAATGTTTTCGGTACTGTCTAGTTTCCGGGAATGGCGATGTATGCAAGCTTTTTCCTCTTTCTGCCCTAAGAATAAACAGCTCATAGGGGAATTCTGAAAAATATATAACCATTTCATATATGTACTCATACCCTGATATTTACAATAGCGTTTCTTTATTTAGATAGCTTTGAGCATGCAAATGCAGTAAAAATCAGAAAACAAGTACCATACTTATAACAAAGCAGGTTATCTCAGTAAATGAAGGGAATTAAGTACCGGCGATGGCAAGATTTTCCCATGATTTGAAGACTAAGTAATTTATTCCTTTCAGAAAATTTTCTCAGAAAGCAAATCATCACTTACGGATAGAAGAATGTTCTAAGAACTACGGGACAAATTTATAATGGGAATAAAAGAATGAAAGAAATCGGAAACTCTTTTCTAGTAATCATTTTACTCCTCGAAAGTTGGTTTCAGTATCACCTTTTTAAGGAAATGACACATGAAATGGATTTCAGAAACTGAATCTCGAAATCATCAATAACTATCCAATATTCTGCATTTGTAAATATTTATTTAATTTGCATTTCAACCAAATGTTGAAAACAAAGCGGAAAAAAATCTCCTTACAAAAGGGGGGAAAAAAAAAGATTCCCATTTTTTTACAGTGATATTCCATTAAATTATATCAGAAAATCATATCACTGATGGATGCAATAAATACTAATTTCAGACATGTTGCCTGTTTATGTTGTTAACTCTCTTTTGCAACTGAACACTGGTAGTTTTGCCTAAGTTTGAATTCCGGCGAATGCGTTCGTTGCTTGGTATTTTGGTGAATTTTAGGTTGAATATATCAAACCAGTTTCCCTGAAAAAGTCATCTACAAACGCATCCTTTTCCTCAAGCAGGTGCCCATCGTATGCTACCTGCCTGACGAATGTGCAAGAATTTTTCTTCTTTTACACAGCTTTCATAATCATATATTACCACCAGCGGCCAAGCGGTAAAGACGCTGAACACTGGTAGTTCGGTCTGAGGTTCGAATCCCGCGAACGGGCTGGCTGCATGGTCGTTTTCGTGTTTTTGTCCATGTGTAACGCGTATACGAGCCAGTTTCCCTTAGAAAGTCCTCCACGAAAGCATCTCTCCATTTAGGCAGATAACCCTCGTGTGCTTTGCCTTGAATAGCACCATACCAATAATACCATAATCACATATTAAATTATTGAACATTTTTAATTTGCAAAACTATAAGTTATGGAAAACTCAATGACATATTTATTTAGATAAATAAAAAGATAAAAATTAAATGCGTCATAGACATCATTCTGTTAGTAATATCATTATATAATCTATTGTACTTTTTTTTTTTCGTGTACTGGGAAATTAAAGAAAATTTCTCAAAAGTATCATCATGTTTTCGTAAACTGATATATAGTGTTAAATTATTATATTAAATTTCAGTTTATTATAGCAGAAGTCGTAAATAGCTGCATTATGTATAGCTCTTGCTTCGCTGAGCTTTCAGAAGTTAATCTGCGTCCATCCGCATAATCGAGGAGCAGGTCGATTTGTTTCTCAGTGCAATCGCTGTGGGATCTTAATTTTACTGACCGATGTTCTATAAATTTAAAATATTTTGCCCTGCCTAAATTCTGTAGCTCTCTACATTCTAAAACTTTTGCCGTTGTCAAGTGCCAAATTCTTAGAATTTCGCCATCCCTAAATTTTCTTGTTCGATGTTTCTTTAAATTCTAAGAATTTTTCAGCCATTAATCTGCCTCCTAGACAGACGTGTTTTTCGATGACACATATGTCACTGAAAAAGTTGAAAAACCGGAATTTTAAAAGCAAACTTCCTACTTTTCATCAAATAAATTTTATCGATTAGCAGTGCTATGGAAGCATTAAAACATTTATGTAATAAATACACAAATACTTCAAAAACATTTTTTTCTCTCTACTGAAGAAAGGCCTGTCTCTGACTACCTGCGAATTTGATTAAGTTTTATCCAAAAGTTACGTCAAAGCGTTTCTTTTTGGCCTAATATTAAATTTTACATTGGCATGTTCCTGTCCCTGCTTGATGTTGACAAGATTTATTCAAAACTTACTGTTCTTATTTTTTATTTTAAAACAAACAATTTAAATGGAAATCCTCAGCTTGCTTTTATTTATTTAAATAATAACATTTGATAATGTGAATTGAGATCAAGAAGTGATTTGCGTATTTAAACCCAAAAAAATGTTAAACACCAATTTTGAAGCTTTTGTTTTGGTTTGCTTTATTTTTCCTTCAAAGCACGCGAGAGCTATCTGCCTAAAGGGAGGAATGCTTTCGTGGAGGACATTCTAAGAAAAACTTACTCGCGCCCACATTATGCACAGAGAAAACCACAAAAATTCCACTTTGAAAGGTAAAAGTGTCTAATTTTTTAGAGCGAGATTTTCCTAACAATGAATTTTAGCAATTTAATACAAGTGCTATATTTAATTAAGAATTAAAACAATGTTCTTTTGTGATTAACGTAAGGTAACTCTTTCTGTCAAAAATAATCATATGAAAATGCACCGAATTTCAGTACCATGTAATTTAGTTCGGAAACTGAGAGGTATCTGTGACATCTTGTCTATATGTAGAAAATTTTTAATAAGGTTATTATGACTGAAATTTGTTTTCAAAATATTCAATATTTCATAACTTCTATCAACCAATAAATGCGATAAAGGTAAACTTCCCCTTTTATAAATATGAAACAAGATAAACGAAATAAATTATGTGGTAAAATGAATTACTGTGTGTGTGTGTGTGTACATTATGTCGAAATGACTGACACTGAGCATGTGTTTGTTATTTTAATAGTAATTTAATTATCAATTACATGTAGCTTTCAATAGGAATTAGGTATTTTAAGCCTCTTATAAATTTTTTCTTAGCGTTAAAGCTCGATAACATGAATCAAAAGCAGAAAATTAGTTAAACTACACTGTCTCACTAGTCGTAAGATTATATTACTGAAATATGCATATAAAAACAAATTAACATTTTATAAACGTACATTAAAATACCGAAACGCAATAAAAATATCAATAACATTTATACTTAATAAGCAACAAAGCGGGAAAAGGGTCAGGCAAGGGAGCACGGGCTCATGTGAATCACTAGAAGAGGCGCCAAATTGGCTATACGAATTCGAAAATTACTTTAATTATTAGAGGAAATAGGCTTCGTCAAACTTAAATCAAAACAAACCAAAAAAATTGCAAGAAAACCTAGAAATTAATGCGATATGCATTTCAGTGTTATTTCTTATTTATCAAAAACGAATGTTTTAACGTTTTCATTTGAAAATTATAAATAATTGGCTACATTATTTCTCTGAATTTATAAAACTACGATTAAAAAATACTTTAAGAATTATGGTATAATTATGCTATAAGGGTTATGACATTTTGATTTAATACAATTACTTTTGCTTAATACAAAGTGTAGCTATTTTTATATATATATGGACAACGCATTGACCATGCATTTATCTTTCTGCCTTCAGGTGAAAAAATATCTTGGCACGGCTCTGATAAGCAATTAAATTCAGAAATATGCACAAAATTAGTAACAAGGCATAGAAAACTCCCTTTTCTGTTTTGGATTTCCAGAAAAAAAAAAAATATCTTTTTTTCGTCTAACCAAAGCATGGACACAAAACGTGTTCCTTCCTCCGTAAGGGCAAAACCAGCCCATCTGCTTAACTCGCCTCTAGGCAGTAATCAAAGGACAGTAGGAAACCATCACTTAAGTGAAACGACTTGTTGATCGCCCTACAAGAAGGGGGGAAGAAAATCTAACAAAGGCCGTTTTCAGGACAATTTTGGTTCACACTAAATGAAAAAAAAATTGTAAACATGGTTAATTTTTACTGCAGTTTTCGAGACGTAAATAGATTTGAATGCGAGCCGCCCGGTGGGTTAAGTAAGACACTCAGATTTTTTTAAAAAGTGGATGTCAACCTTTCCCAGGACCCAGAAAAGAACTGTAGAAAGTTTGGTGACAATAGCTGTGGTAGTGATTGAGATAATCGCAAACAAACACACAAACATACATTCTTCTTTATATATATATAGATTGTCTCATTTTTCCCCCTAGCACTTTAATGTATATTCTCTACTATTCATGTATTACTTTCTTGTTAAAGAGGACACTGGACATGATTAGAAACGGCAGCTTCTTTAGGCGTGATTTGTTTAGTACAGATTATGAAGTTTATAAATTCTGATGACTAAATTCATCGACAGTTTTAAAAAGGAAATAGCTTCATATCTATAACCATTTGCACTGAAAATATTACACATATATGATTCATTTGTATAAAAAATATTGCATACAAAAAATTAGCAATGGGATACATACTGTAATTTTAAACAAAGAAAAAGAAAAACACAAAAATAATATCAATCAGTAAAAGTATGTACATGCAGTTATGTTAAATATACTTATGCAAAAATATACAACAAAAGAATATACCAGTGAGAGCCAAATACGATCTGAATAAGCTGACATCAAACAACAAAGAATTTTTGGTGGGCTGAGGGGACCAAAGAAACCTAATTCCTTTTCCAAATTCTCTCTAGCCTCTATAGTGTGAAATATTATACTAAAATTCATATAATTTTGATAATAATATTAAGACATTAAAGTAATATGCAGAAATAAAATATACAAAAAGAAAAATTCTGCATAAACACATATAAACATAATGTAACATAACAGTAATATAGTATTGGGATGTTTATGCATGAAATTTTGGTCTTTTTGAATAAAGTTAATAAACCTTTACATAACCTAAAACACATATATGCAAATAGATACTCTGTAAAAAAAATTTATATTTATTGATTTTGTTCACAGTACATCAAAAATGATTAAAGTAATTATAAAAGTACACATAAAAATGATTTTATATTTAATAATATATTAGCAAAATAAGAAACAAATTTAGGAAGAATATGATTTAAAACTCACTGCTTATTACTAGCGAATGAATATTTACAATGTAGTCAAAATAAAACTATGATATAGTTTTTCCTTACACGTTTAAAGATTTTACAAGTGAAAATATTAGCAACTATCAAATGTAAGAGAAACAAAACAATATTTCAAAATTCTCTTTTTGAAATTTTACCTTTCTTTGCAGCATACTTCAGTTTTACTAATACTTGTTTTCCAGCTTCATTTAAGTCAGGCTTTTCTTCACAGTCACTGTCGTATATTCTGTCACCTAACTTTTGTAAAAGATAAAGATTTTGCAAGGATTTGTAAGAAAAAAAATAAGACTGAAAGTAAGGAAAATAATGAAAAAACTTTATTATTACTACTATACTATTTTATTTTTTAATGACCAGTTTATATCAATTACATTTTTCAATTTGGAGTTTACATAAAAATTAAGTAAATTAAAATTAATTTCTTCTGAATCGAAAGTAGAAAACAGGCTTTAGATATGGTACTTGCAAGCTAGTCTGCAATTATTGGAGGAGTTAAAGCAATGAGAATCAGCAAAATATTCATAAATTTGCAAGATCAGTTTTGAAGATTTATTTAAAGAACCTTCTTCTTCAGCTGCAGAATGCAAATGACAAAAGAGAAACCAGTGCTCAGGAAATAAGAATGAGAAGGAGGAAGTCGAATTATTGTTATCATCTATTGATGAAAAATGAAAACAACTATGAAATAATTTCCTTAAGGGGTATCAGAAACTCCTATACCGACAATGTTAAATTGGCCATTTTCGATGTACCTTTTCTCAAAATCTGCTGTAGGATACACGCTTGAAATTTTTTGTGTAATTAAATGTATACCTCTCTGATTATACTGAAATGAGATTTTGAAAGCATTTTGAATTTTAGAGTAAATTACAGAATATTTTGTTAGGCATAGTAAAATTTAGCACTTTTCTCACACAAAAAAATGTAAAAAAATTTTTTTTTCTAAGTTTATTACAAAAAGCTCATTTCAGTAAATATTAGGGAACCTAATAAATAAGCCATAAAAAATTTAGATACCCATGAGCAGTAGTTCCTGAGAAAAGATACAAATAATAAAAATAAAAAAATCACGTTTGGAGAAAAACGCGTTTTTATGTAAAAATCCTCGTTGATCAAAGCAGTAGATGACAAATTAAAACTAGATTTTTTTACAGTTCTAATTTTCATAGAGATTAAAGAATGGTATTTTTAGAAAGATAAAAGTGTAGAGAATTTGAAAATGCAAAAATCTGAAATTACAATTTTTTTTGAAGATTTTGGGGTTCCAACACCCCTTAAAAGCTGAGGGTGAAGACAGATTGGAAATGGGATTATGAACTAGAACTGAAAGATATTTATGAATGTGAAATGCCCCTAGAAAATCTGATTTGTCAACAGGAAATGTTTTTTTTAATAATTTTGGCTGACAATCTCCATTCCAATCCATTTTTACCTTCAGTTTTTGAGGGAATTATTTCAGTTTTCATTTTTTATCAACAGATGGCAACAGTAGTTTGGCTTTCTTTCTCTCGTTCTTATCATTTAAGCACTAGCTTCTCTTTCCTCATTTGCATTTGTGAATTTGAAGAAAGAAAGTTCTACATTTAAGCTTTTGAAACCAGTCTTGCAAATTTAAGAATATTACACTGATTCTGGCTGAACTTCTCAAATAGAAAATCTTTATTTGGCATGATAATTTAACTCAAAGCTCACAGTATATAAGAACAAATGAAAAAAAAATCCTAACCTAAGACTTCCACTTATTTCTAGAATTGGATTTCCATTCACAAAAAGTCATTCCACAATTTATGACTGAAAACTTGAATTTATTAATTCAGCACTTATAACTATGAGTATTTAGTATTTACATAGTTCAATTGTGTGTAAACAAGTAATTTAATTTCAATACTTTATTTCAAATTGAGACATTTAATATGTTATTACATATACTAGATTCTTATTAAAGCAAAACTATTTCACATTATAAAATGGTCACATATATGAAGAAATGCAGGATCCCGGCTTATTTCTGTGCTTAACAAATGTGTTATTTAATAGAAAAGCAAAAATGCTTTGCTATATATGAAGTGGCATTGCAGATGTAAAATATTTCACAAATAAAAAATTGCACAAAAAGATTATGATAATAACAATAATATTAAAATAAGATACTTTCTAATTATTTGCATCCCCACTGCAGCTTTCTAGCTGTGAAAAAGTACAGATGAAGCAATGCACTATGTTGCAAAGAAGCATTTATGCAGCAACCCACGATGTTGCCAAAAAGTATTTATGTAGCAACCCTGACATGAGCATATTGTACCACGAATAGACCCACAGCTCTACTTCCCTGGACACTTTTACAGCCATGATAGCAGATTGTGAATCATCCTATGGGAATTTCAGTATTTTAGAACACAAGTGAATCCCCATACTGCAGTTTTCATTGTCTTTGATGAAATCTTGAAATTAGCTTTTTGCATTGAAAGAGTATAATGTGGTTGACTTAAAGGCATTATGTTCTCCATTTTTCCATTCTCCATTTTTAGAGTTCCATATGTTCATATGGCATATGTTCCATATGGCATATGTTCTCCATTCTCCATTTTTAGAGTTGGTAGTGATGTACATGATTCCAAGTCTGTGCAATTTTCGGATTTTTTTTTTTTTTTTTTTTTCTGTGAAAACAGATCTTTGAGCATGTGACAGAACAACAAAGTAAAAAATCAAGGTGTCTCATATGGAAAAAGAACAAAAAGTACTAGATGCATGGTTGAAATAGATGTAAATATTTTTCTCCAAATCGGCAATGAGTTGGTCAATGATTTAACTGGATTTTCATAACTACTGGTGCAAATATAGCAGTTTTTCATTGTAAATACTCATTATGCTTATTATTTTTACTCCTCCATCAACCATAGATGCAGTTATAATTGATGTTTGAGGCATTATTAGCAGCAGTTGCTGAGCTGTGGCCACCACGTCTACTAAGAACAAATTTTTTGGTATGTTTATAGATATTTTTTTAATGAACAAACAAATTTGCTAACAAAATTGCATTATTAATTGTACTAAAATCATGAATACAATTTTTTATTGTATTTAATAATAAACAGATTTTTCCGACACGTTTACATGTATTGTTATTTTAAATAAATAGCTTACATAAGTGTATTGAATATGATAATTAACATAAGTATATTAAATAATAGAATAAATACAATTTTATATTAAATTTCTTCTATTATGTGTAAATATTAAATAATTTGGTTGTATAGATATTGAATTAATTCCTGATTTATCATTTACTGTAGACATTTTCATTTTTGTTGATATTTGAGAATGTTCATTAAGCAATTTATTTTGGAAGAATAATTAAATATATGATCTAAACTAAATATTATAATACCAAAAAATATTTAAATGAAACTAAAATACCTCATGATATTTCCTTAATCCATTTAATTTATGAACTTGTGCCTCTCTGCTTTCAATAAAATACGTCTCTCGGAAAGTAATTTTCCCTTGAAATTCATAAAGTCTTGGAATGCGTACTTCAACAATGTAACTGTATTTGCAAATAAGTAGAATGCTTTCTTCATTCTAAAAATAAACAGAATTCAATGCAAGTTCAGTACAGATCATAATACTTAGAGAAGATTTGAGTTTTTCAGTTAAATATGTATAACTCAGCTCTAATTAACTGACATCCATGAGATTGGATCATAGGTCAGATAAATAATGGCTATTAAAGCAAAAAAAGTACAAAAAACAGCACTTGCAAGTTACAAATCAAATTAAAAAATTACATATATATTAATGTATGTGCAAGATAAACATATGTAAATCAAAGTACTATGCAATAGTCCCTTAACTCTTCATGCTAATTTGATCTTTTCTCTTCTAAAAAAAGTAAATCTCTCTAACCTGTGTCATTTCAAAATTAATAACAATCATGTGATTCTTGCATAATGCTAGTGATGCAAATAATTTTGCAAACAAACTTAAAACAGCCAGTCAGAACGAAGAAAAACAGTTTTTTATCAGTCTTTCATTTTTAACACATTGCACTTGCTCTCTGCTTTTCTGTCTAAGTCTAACCACAATGCTACCTGCTGCTTTCTTCATATACATCTCATAATTTTATTGGTGTAGTAATTCTTCACGAAGAGATGGTAATTTTCCCATTTTACATGTGCCAATCAAGTATGTGTTTCATTCTAATGATATGCAACTCCCTCAGTGCATACTTTGTGACACTGTCTTTTCAAATGCAAATGTGAAGCCATCTAAACTGCTGGAACATTTTAATAACAGCACGGGGCTGCAGATTTTGCCTATCTGGACGTCTTTTATAGCAAAACTTGTCCTGTCTCTTGAAACTGTTTTAACCATCTTTTACTTGATTGATTTGTTGGTGAAAATTTATTAAATTCGTGTCAGAATCCCTTCCAAACTGCTTTTGGAGATTTCGCTTTATACAACCAGAAAATGTAGATTGCTTTTTACTGCATGACACCATTTTGTCTATAAATAAACAATTTCCTTGTTGCTTTTCCCAAAAAATTAGAATAAATGAAATTCCTTGAAATAAAGATTATACCAATATAAATTATTTCCGGTTACTTCGTAAAATTCTGTTTTCACTTAATTTTGTTATCGGCGATTAAATTATGGACACTCTGTACTTACCGTTCTCAAGATCATGAGTTCATTTCTTTCTCAATAAGAACACTAGTGGCTCATGGAGTTGCCATACGATCACATCCACACCATTCTGCAATGCAATACAGGAGGACATCTCAGGTGATCATGAACAAGCCTGTGTTATGGCATGGTTGGATACCCTCAGTATAGATGCAATTTCAGGGTTGCCACTCAAACGGAAGAATGAAATTCCCTGACATTTCCAGGTTTTCCAGGTGTGTTTCAAGAAAATTCCAGTCTATCCGCGTAATGTACATTGGCTGTGCTAAGATTTAAATTAATTATGGTATTTACTTGTATTGTGCAGCAAATTCACTTAATTATTCAATAAATCCCAGAGGACATTTATTGTTAATTATTCTTGGTATACTTTGTTTGATAATTTTGTTTACTTTTCTACTTAAGAAACTTAATAAATTTAAGATATATACATTGGATAACAAATGTATGTTTATTTAATTATTTACTCATGATCATCACCAGTTCAAGACGAGGCTAGTCCGGTCCTTATAAAATCACAATGCAATGCTAAATAGTTAGGTTAGATTTTTAGGTAAATTTAATTTGTGTGAGGTATGTTCTTAAAAGACACCTTAACACTTGAAAACACAAATAATAGTTGTTGTTTTCTCCACTGAAGCTTGAGATTAGAATCTTCCCAATCTGGAATAAAATAAGGCTTTTTTTTTGCAGACATTCTGCAGCTAAACGAAAGAAAGAAATCTATTTAATAAACTGAGGTATTTTATATTTATTCGCAGCATACATAAGGAAAAAATATGTGCATTAAATTTTGTGATGGTATGTCATCATACTGCTAGAATTAATTTCAGGATTATGCCAGAGAAAATTCCTGAAATTTGGAAATATTATTTACTAATAAAAAATTTAGGAGGGAAGAAGCAACATTAAATTATATGAATAACATAAAATAAAGATAATTACTTAAAAGTGAATTAGAATAATCAACGATATTTTAGCGAATAATATTACATGGTTAGCCTAGGTGACTGATTACTATTTTTTTATTTTACTGCAAAATGGCAAGGTATTTATTAAAAAAAAAAAAAAGGTTTAAAAAGATTTTGCAGTAAAATTCTAGTATACGGTAAGGCTATGGCACGATTTTGAAACTTGTCGCTAAGACCAAAATGAACCGTTTACTGCGCATTATCATGTCGCCAAATCCCACTGTACCATACATGGAGATTATTCTAACTAAAGAACATCTATGTAAAGAAGAAAAGGTTCCATACAAGTAAAATGCTATTATGCCGCGAGAATGCGGAGGGAAAATTTGCCAAGGGATTTGGCGACGGAACCTGGCGGCCAGAATTTCCCTCTCCGCGATGTGTACCGGAAATTGAGAAACACGTGTTAAGAAGAAACGTTCTTTGACAAAAAGAAAGCTACGAAAAATCCAAGAAGAAAAGTTTTATCAAAGGACGTTTCTTCTTGGATTTTTCACAATAATTTTAAAAATGGATTTTCGTAGTTTTATTTTTCCCTGAAAATAACTAATCCATGAATTAATTTACTTGCGGCAAAAAATATTTTCTTTTCGTAGACTAAACTTCACGGTTGCGGTGCCATGCGCTACAAATATAACAAGCAGTAAAGTGTCTCATTTATGCCGCTCCACATCCGTGAGTGCAATCCAGAGCTGTAACTTGAGAAATAAACAATCTCGTTGTTAGGCGACGTGTGCCCCACGTTATTTTCATTTTTGCGATAAATGCTTATAGACGTGGCGTTCACATTGCTCGTGGTTTGAGACAAAAGCATCTCGACGTGCGTGACACGTCTTTTTAGCGCAAGTGGTTAAAGAAATTTTAAACGATATTCATTTTATGAACTCTTGATAACGTGACCTTTGAACTTCGACACCGGTTTCGAGCTTTGGCGACAGATATATCACGCATGTACAGCTGTTTCCCTCTATGATGGAACGGAGCCACCTCTGTTGCAGAGAGGTTTTCCTTCTTTACAATACATATGCTTTGATTCTAACCTCCATGGTACCGTATACTAGGATTAAACCCATTTTGTTTTATACGAGAACAGGTACTTTCTTTAGTTCATGCACTGCACATGCGATTCTCGAGAATACTGGAAACCAAAAGTGCGGGAAACTTGCTTGCCTTTCTAAAGACAATCAAATTGGAGCGCGAAAATGGGCTCTATGCCAGCTGCCCGAATGACATCACGTGATACACAATTCGCCAAAAAAGTTATCTCTTCTGACGTCGGCGCAAAAATCGCTTTTTTTGGCGGGATCGTTGTATGAACTTCCCTGACTTTTCCAGATTTTGACAAAAATACTTAAATTCCCTGACCTTTTCCATGAATTGTTTGGTCAATTTTTGAATTCCCTGATATTTTCTGGTTCTCCAGGTAGCGTGGCAACCCTGTGCAATTGATTATTGCTCTGGACAGCTGAGCATGGGCAGATTGAACTTTAATGCAGATGCTTTAATGAACCTAATGCAGATGAGATTTGAACTTTAATGCAGCTCAGGCCTTACTCATTTTGTCATGATTTCATGGCACCTTCTCAAAATGAAGATGGTAGTTGTACCAATACTGAATTCCTATTCTGAACCTGGTAGTCAAACCATTCTTTGGGTGGAAACTGAGTACTGTGCCCAGAATACAAAAATACACTTGTGGCTCTAAAACCTATACGTCGATATCTTTCCAATGCAAGTTCTAATTGCTCACTAGGTTTCAACACAAATATTCCCAGATTACAAGGAGATGGATATGGAAGAAATGTTACACATATTTGAAAAAATTGTGATATGGTAGAAATATTCCTCACAAGCAATAATATACTTATTTGGAAAAAAAAAATATCATGTGAATCAAATATTACTATGAAAGTTATCAGGCTAAAGTGTGATTATGTTAAAAAATAATACACTTTGGCCAGAAAAATTGCTATTCTAAAAAGAATTATACAGTACAAAGTCTTTAATCCGGACGTCCATAATCCGGAATGATCTATAATTCGGACCTCAAAGCTATAAACTTTCTGCGCATGCTTAAACGCATAATGCATTTACACATGCACATAATACCTTTACGCATGCGCATAATACATTTATGCATGCACGTTTAATGTATAACGGATGGTATAAGCTAGGCTAAAATTATCTAATTATCTATTTCAGTTAATGTTGCAGATTGCATTATTCCTTAATCTTCTAATTGGATCCGGCTTATTATTTTTTAGACCGTCAGAGGAATTTTATGAAAAGTAAGCTTGAACTTTCGATTATGTCAAAACGATTCTGGAGCTGCCAAAGGATCTACAAAGCGAAAGCATGTTTTGATGTCAATCAAACAAAAAGTGGAATTGTTACATGAAGAAAGTGACAAAGAGGTTAGTGAAACCAAAAAAATTTTGATTGACAAATTAGTCGGTATTCTCGACACAGTAATTACAGGATTTGAAGAGCGGAACTTTGTAACTGAACAAGAAATTATGTCTGTTTATAGAATTAAAGAGAAAGTATTAGCACATAAAACAAAGCACCTTAAACAACTTACATTGAAAGAAATGTTTAATAAAGTAAACAACAAATAAATACAGTCAAAAGTCGTTAATTCGGACACCCATAATCCGGACCTCAAAGCTTCAAAACTTTCCCTGCGCATGCGTCGCTTTGACACATGCGTATAAGACCTTTACGGCTGCGAATAAGCGTGTGCGCGTGCGCAAAATACGTTTACGAATGCTCGTTTAATGTATAACAGACGGTATAAGCTAAGCCTAAAATTATCTAATTCAGTTAATGTTGCAGATTGCGTGTTCCTTAATCTTCAAATTGGATCCGGATTATTATTTTTTGCAGACTGTTTAGAGCAATTTTATAAAAGTAAGCTTGAAATTT